GAGGAGGAGCCCTTAAACATGGGTCTCGCCGTGGGGCGGTGCTGGTGTCAGCCCACTCCACGTGTGACTTGTGCTGGGTTGTTCTAGGAGTATTAATAAATCCCTGTGGTTCATAATAAAATAATTTTCCATCGGCAGTATGATGTTAATACAGGTAATTACTAATAAGAAAATCAGCCTGGTGTAGCTTTGTCAAGGGTGCACTGTGCTTCTGACAGATGTTGTAGTTCTATTACAGTCATCTAAAAGGAAAGTTATCAGAAAATACGTTACCCATATTATTGATCTCCTCTCTAAATCTCCGTTTTTCAACTGTTTTAAGTTTCCCAAAGACCTTGGATTCAGCCACTGCTTTACTTTCCCTATTCTTGTTATTTCCCTATTTCATGTTATGTGCTATGATTCTTTGTCTGGAGGTGAAAACCAAAGCAGCTTTCAAAATACCTGAGTGCAATGTTTGATTTGTTTAACCTGAGGTTACATCATTATTTAAATGTAAGATTGTCTCTCAGTTTTGAGACTGAGGAGTTTGTCTTGAGGAAGCTTCATAAAAGTGAACTTGGATTCTGGGCTCGTTTTGAGACTTTTAATAAATCACTATCTGTGGTGTAACTGTGTAAAATTAATTCGTAGGCAGGTGACTGAAGAACTTGATCCTACATAATCTTACGTATGCAATTAAATCTCTGTGCGTGTGTGCATGGCTACAACCAGTGGGGCAAACTGTGCAGACCTAAGCACTTCTGGACATGATTGTAGAGGCTGATATAATGCAGGAGGGAAAAGCAAACTGAGAAATCTTTAATTGAAGGCCATAGTGGAAATGCAGAGTTCTTTGATATGTTTAGTCTTGTGTAGGGGTAGAGAAAGGGAAGGAGGGCATATCCAAGCTGTCTGAAATCTGTATTGTGACATTTTTAGACCCGTGTGTAAATTCGGGAACTGGGGATCATAAAACCAGATTCCTCATCGTGTCTGGAGATGTGTCTGAATCTTGGGGTTGTGGAAGGTGAAGTTGGATGCTATTTTGTCCTGGTTTTCTCATTTTCCTGGTTGAATTTGGAAGAACAAGATAGAGGTGACTGCCTCTGGACCTGAATCAGAATCCAGGGAAAATGTCAGACTCCTACAAATTCGAACGTGCTTTGGTCCAGATAAATCCAGTTGCAAATTTCCCCCTAGGTTTTAAGCTAGCGTGTGATACTAATACCGGAAGAATGCACTGCAGTATTTGTTGGCTTCAGTTAGAATTCAAAGCGCTGGCTTTAACCTGCAAAATTTTGAATGTTTTGGAGCTGCTAGCGCGAGACATCATCTCTTTTCTCTGTCACGTTGCCATCCATGACATCACTAGAGACGCTCAGAGCTGGCGACCGCTCAGCGTGAACCAGATGTCTGCTGAGAACCTGTGTCCATGAGGGCCTCAGGATCTGAAATTAGCCACCGCATCTTGATCTCTTTATGCCCCGCTCTGTCAAACTTTCGTCCACTTTACAAAGCCTGCCAAGAAAGTCGTGAGCCGAGATGGGCAAGTTTATGTCTTTCGGATGTTTTGTGACTTTTTTACATTACTATTTTTTAATTAGCAGATGAGGCACCTTGTGTGTTAGCTGCACCAGCCTTTCAGCATAAGGGAATAAAGATGGAAGCAAACAAATCTTAGGACAAAAAAGACTTGTATTTTAGTCCGATCAGGAATATTAGTGAGTGGTGTCTCTGGATCTGTTTTAAACAGTAACAAGTATAAACTGGGTGGAAATTATCACATTTGTAGTGTGTAGAAAGACATATCTAGTGCAGACACTCAGATTCCTGGATTCCTAATCTAAAATTCTAAAAATGTCACCTGTGCAATTAGCTGTATAGCATATATGAATTGCCTTTTTTTTTTTTAGTCACTTTAACTTATTTGCTTGAGTCCATTGACTCCTAGGAGTCCGTTTACCACAGCATGACAGCCACAGATATAGATTATTTTAGATGCTTTTAAAGAAGAAAAAAGGAAGATTTTCCAGTTAGCTCATGAATGTCAGGGTCACAATCTTATTAATGATTTTTAAAAAAGCAAGACAGTGTTTTTGCTGATACAAGTGGTGATATTTCATTGCCTTTTTTGATTACTAATAGTTTAAAAGCTAGAAAAATAGTTTAGATCTGATTTTTTCCTTCATTTCTTTCTGTTTACTTGGATTTATAGCTTCAGTTGTCAGAGTTCTGGTCTGGTGAGAACTTAATTTCACATGCATATTTTACATTTGTGAATAAAACAATTGAATTCCTTACTTGTATACTCACTTCTTCACTAACTTGGCTTTTCACGTGTTTTTCAAACTTTGCTAACAGCAGACAAAATGTAATGTTGCTTCTTAATAATTAAGGCTTTGTGAATTTAAAACAAAAGTCTTTGTGATATTTTTAATTTAATATTTGGGACTTAGTAGATTTTTAATATATAAGTATAATTTAAAACTCTTTTTTGATGAATGTATGTAAATAGACTCTTTGGGAGTTGTTAATAAAGGCAGTTGCAGTCCTGTGTTAATATATTGTGAGCAGAGGTATAAAATGAATTTATTAATCTACCCTCTTTCCAGTTTGTAGAGTGAAGTATAGAAAGCAAGCTTAGGGTATAAATGACTTAAAAATAGACTCTAGTCATTTTCTAGTGCAGTGCGTGGCCAACCAATTGATATTTTTCATCTTAATTGACCAAAACTTGAATTTAAAAGCTAAAGTTTGACCACCTGAGCGTTGCTGTGCTGCCAAATGCCCGCACTTCGGAGATGCAAAAACTTGTATCAGAGATGCAAAATCTCCTATTCTTGCAATCCCTGAAGAGCCATCGAATCCCTCACTGAAGAAGAGAAACCCTCACATGGAGGCGGCCACGCTCTATTCAGACATTTACCTTCCTAATCCCACGTTTTAAAGCTGGCATTTTTATTCACTTCTCTTCTTATTCAAAGCTTCGGCTGCTCCTGTGCCTTGTTAAATGTTTGCCACTCTCCATACCAGAGGTGACTGCATCTCAATGATGCTGAAGTGCCCCTGTACATAACCTGCTTACTAGCTCATTAAGCTTGCAAAGCATTTGGGATTTCTCAGTACACAAACCCTTCCATTGAGGTAAGGTTGTCCATTCCCTTGTGTTTCCTGTTTTCGTTTAGCAAGACAAAAAGCAGGTGAAAGCACGCCCCAGAGCTGCTGCCCTGCACATGTACAGCTTCCTCTGCTGTTCTGAGCCAAGCAGCCACAGAAGGTGTGGACTGCACCTTGTTTGGTTGTTTAGACTGGTTTCTTAAGAGAACTTGTGTTCCTGCAGAGATTCTCTCCCTCCCTTTCCACTCCAAGTAATTTTCATAATGGGCTCAAATTAGCAAATTTGAGCCAAGTTTTGCCAGTAGGACTGAGTTTTAAAGAAACTGATTTTCTGGGAGTTTTGTGAAAACCGGTGGTTGTTAGAAAAGAGATTCTACATGTGTCCTAAATGGGAGAGAGGAGCTATGCCATCCTCTCAAGCCTTGTTTGTGATTAGAAAACCTTATCTGAAAAAAGTCTGCACCTTGATACTATGTCGTGGGGAAATTTCAACGAACACACACAGCTGTGAGACACAGATTCATAGGAAATCAGGTTTTGTTCTGGTGCGTATGAAACCACGTTTAAAAATAAGGGGAAGAAAGGCAGTTTCAGGAGGCTTCCCTCTGTTGGTAAAGGTCATGAGTAACTCATCCTCGTATTCTTTCAGTACTGCCTGTCAGGACATCCAACCTTACCATGCAATGTACTCAAGTTCAAATCCACCACCATCATGTTGGATTGCGGACTGGATATGACGTCTACCCTCAATTTCCTCCCATTGCCACTGGTTCAGAGGTGAGTTCTGCGGCCTGTAAGCACTTTGTCTGGCTCTTCTTGGGTTGCAGTTGGAGTGCTCTGCATGAAATGGTGTATTGGAAGGAGGGAGGGGATGAGTACAAGTGAACGGCATCGTCTGATATCATAAATAGACTTTGTTCACTTAAAAATTCTCTTTATCAAAATAACGTCCTTTGGCTCAGTAGACGGAAGACATTTTATGGATTTATTGATTGGTTTTTCTAGATAATTTATTCTAAGCTTCAGTAAAGTATTGCTGCAACTGCTCAGCTCGAGTGAGGTCACATATCTGTCATCTTTCTGGCTTCTTCATGCAAGATGAGATAAATGGGTAACTGAGATGGAGTTTGTGGAGCCCAGCAAGTACTGTTTAACCACCATCTTCTCAGGCTTTTCTTCAGAGCACGGACTAATGCAAAGGAAAATAGCACTTAACAGTCCTCGTTAGTTGACTTGATGGCATAATTGTTCCCTTTTAAAAATTAAATAAATAAAAGGGTGGTGCAGCTGGGCATAGGAACGGAACAGCAGTGAAATAGAAGTAGAGTCTGGAAGAGAATGCTGAGATCAAGACTCCCCCTTCTATGCCCTAACTACAGTCGTGTTTTCCAGGTTTTTAGGTGAATTTGGATATTCAATTAGAGTGGCTTGTGTCTTGCATAAATGGAACAAATTACAAAAATAAGGGCTTGGAAAGGTGGGAATGAGTAACTCTTGGTGATGGGAAGCTGTGGGAGTTTTCACAAAAGCCATTTAGTAACTTTGATTCACGAGGAAGCAAGTGAGGAACATTCTGGTTTCAGGGGAGGCTTGATTCAGAGGGGGAGAATATGATTGGGAAAGGAAGTTTCCTAAGTGACCTAATGAGGTTAAAGCAGTTTGTCCAGCACTTCTGATGATTTGTTATTGTTGGGAGAGGAAAAGAATAGACAATGTATGCATTGTTCTGCAAGAAGGTGGAGTTCAAGATCTGCTGTAGAGTAGGCAACAGGTGCCTTAAGATGGATCAGTGTGATAGTCAATTTTTGTCCCATTCCATAATGTAATTGCAAACTACAGTATTTAGGGGCAGTAGTAGATTTTGAAGGGATCCAGAAAATTTGGGAAATCGAGGTACAGACAGAATTGCCTTGCATTAGCTTCCTCCCACCCCCCAAAGAAAAAGGAAATTGAGAGAGGAACAAGTAGCAAAATTAGGTAATTGAACAAAGGCTTAAGGGGTTCTTTAGAACTGCAGCCATCAACGCTCCCAGGGGATATGCCAGCTTTGTCTGCTGATAGCAGACCCTGGGAATGAACAGCCAAATTGCAGGTCGAAACCTGGAATTCCCCAAGTACCTCCAGAATGTCTGCACTAAAATGACTCAAACTCAATAAGAAAGAATGTCAGATTTGACCCCTGATGGCCCAGTGGAATCTGAGCAAACAGTTGGATTTAAATCCAATCAATCTTGTCTGTAAGGTGATTGAATACCCCTTACAGCAAGGATTGTCCTAAGCACATGGACTTGGGCAAATAATTGATCTCTTCAATACTCTACAAAACAAATGTCCTGCATGGAGTTGTGGAAATGAGTTAGAAACTTGAGGTGGAATGTGTCTGCCACTAAACTTCTCTATAGTATTCATAGTTGTACCATTGTATATCAGGTCTCCATTACCATGATGTCTAAATACCTCTGAAATTCAAATGTGTATCATCAGCATAAGGTGGCCAGGTGATAGAGAGCTGACATCAGTTTCCAGGTGAGACACTACAAGAGGAACTGACTGCCTGAGGTCTTGCATAAAGCCTGTAGCAGCGCAAGAATTTGCACATAGATCTGTCAGATCTTAGGTTATTACCAGCTGTGTGTCCTCTCAGAAGCAGAAGTGCTGCTTCTTGCAGCTAGACTGAGATGGACCCATGTGAAATCTTAACCAGAGAGGAACTATGCCTCTCTCTGCTGTCTTTAAACCAGAGGTCCCCAAGGTATGATCCGTGAACCACTTGGGTTCTGCAAGTCTCAGTATGTGGTCTGTAAAGGTGCCCTAATTTTCACCTCTGCGGAGCATAAAGGTATGATATTACAGAGGATCTTTGCTATGCAGCTGAATCCTCTGTCATACCTGGCATGGGACACTCCTTCAGCAAACATTTTGAGAGCCTGTGCTTTAATCTATAAGAGAGGAAAGTGCTGTAGTGTTTGTGTCATTAAAGGGACTGGACATTCTTTAGAGTTCTTTGCTCTTCAACAAAAGCCCATCAAAAGGTATTTAGATTCCACCTTGTCCTGGAAATGGTAGCCCTCTTCTCAGCAGCCCATGGTGCATGTGCAAAGTACCTGCAGTTGCCAAACACTTTATGCCAGTTCATGTACTTTAAAGGAGGTTTGTCAACTGGAATTTTCTCCTCTGTACCAAAGTCAAATGCAAAACGGTGAAATGAACATGTGGGAAGCTCTTAACCTTTCCTGTCTAGCCATGACACATTTGCTCACATTATTTATGGGATAGTTCTAGCTATTTTGGATTAATCAATCACTGTTACAATGTCAAAACTATGTCGGCAGGAACGGTGTTACTTCTTGGATTCAAGGTAAAGAATCCTTTCTGTCCTGTGTTGCTTATTGCATTTTCACCCGCACACAAGACCTATCTGCTGATTTTGCCTCTCTTGACAAGACTGTATACTCTTCAGTGGATGCCAGGTTTAGTAGAAGTCAATAATGCTCTTTCATCATGAAAGCAAACCTCATACTAGGCTAAATTAGGAGGAGTAGGGCAAGCATATCAAGGAAAGTTTATTCCACTCTGCCTCGTGCTGATGAAAGCACAAACGGATCCAGGTTTGGATTCCCAATTGAAGAGGGATGCTGAGAAACTGGAGAGGGTGTTCAGGGGCCTCCAAGATGGTCAGAGTCTGGAGCCCATGACTACACAGAGAGGTTGAGGGAACTGGGCTTGTTCAGTCTGGCAGAGAGGAGGCTAAATGGGGAGCTGACAACCACCTACATCTGCTTGAAAGGAAGTTACAGAGGCAACAGAGCTGAACTCTTCTCAACAATGGCAGGCAGTGTAAGGGGCTAGTGGCCACAGTTGTGTCTTGGGATGCTCAGGTTGAACATTAGCCTCGCAGTGATGGAGTTTTTCTTAGCACTTTCACCCATCCCCAGAGAAGCTCTAGAATCTCACGTTCCAGGGATTTGCAAGACACAGCTGGACAAAGCCATGGCTGACCTGATATAATGCTGGCTTTGAGACATCGGACTACAGACCTCCAGATGTCTGTTCCAACCAAGGTTTCTGTCCTTTCCTTCCTTATCTGTAAAAATTATTGCATATCGGAGTGGTTTGGTCTTACTTTTTCCCTGCGTCTTCAATAGCTCTTTTAGTCTCTTTGCACCAGTTCTACTCAGCCCCCTCAGTCTCCAAAATACTTATCTTAAACTGTGCTTTTGAATGTGTCAGTGGGGAGTACATGAAGCCACCTCATCTTTTCCATGATCAGACTTCTTCAGACTTGCTCTTTATCCTCAAAAGGGAGTTGCAGTTCTCTGGCACAGCTTCTCGATGATGTGTCCTTCTGCTCTCACCGCTTACCTTCTGTCCTTCACTCCTTGAGTCTTAGATTTCCTCTTTTTCCTTCCTTGTGACTTTCTGGAGTGCCAGTTAGAGTTTGTTCTTTTCTATTGATGTTGTCTGAACACAGCATTCCTCTGAGCCTTTGAATCACTTCCTATTTTCAAAATCTTAAATGTGAAAGCTCTTATAGCATATAAGCATGCCTGTCTGTAGAGCTTAGTGCACAATGCTTGCAGATTTCATTGCAACCAGATTCTCGAGTTATGTCTCCAAATCTGAGGTTGTTGCAGGGCTTGGTTCCAGGTGGGTTCAATTCTCTTGTTTCCTCAACTTTTTCTTTGCCCATTTTCTGTAGGTATGCTTGAATCTGGGCAGATAGTGGTTTTAGAGCTAAGTTGTAGGCTCACACAAAAATCAAATCTCACTGTGAAGTATGAATAAGTCTCTCAGTTATGGTAGCAAGAAATGCTGCAGTAATTACTACTCTAAACTTAGGATTGCAATGTCCACCTTGAAGTTTCTTTATTAGCATTTGAAACAGTTGAAAAAAGGGGCCCTGCCCTTGCTGACTGGTGCCAGACCTGCCAGCTTGAGACATGCAAGTCCCAGCAAAACCTCCTTGCCCCTTTGTTCTTCCAGCACAGGTAAACGCACTGTACAACTGTTGGTGTGGGTCTTCAGAATGACACCTACGCATGAAACCACGGTTTATGGGGATATAAAACCACAACCTCTGTGTCTATAAATGACTTAGTCCAAAGCGTCAGTCTTTCCTTGCCATTGCTAATGGGAATATTTGTCTATTGTCTTCTGTCCCATAGCAGTTTTAGAGTGCTTTTGTATAGTTTCAGGTGTAGTTCGTTACTGCCCTAACTTCTCATGTGTATACAGCCAGTTTCACCATAGGGCAACGTAAGTACCGTAGGCAGATACAGTCACCGTAAATGACTAAAATCAAACTCCCTGCATGCATTGTTCTCTTATTCTTTTTACTTAAAAGTGTCATAATCATGATTTGTAAAAGTCGTTTCAGTGAACACTTAGACACAATGAAACTGTCTGTCTATTTTATTGACATTATTAGTTCCCTGAGACAGAAATGGTGTTCTCTTCCTGTATGACACCAAATAGAAGGTCTATGCTTAGCTGTTGATAATGATATTATTCATATTGCAGTCGTTTTTTTTTCTCTTTCTGCAGCCCCAGGCTGTCCAAACTTCCTGGTTGGGTTTTGAAAGATGGAAGCACATTTCTGGACAAGGTACTATACTGATGGTTAGGATTTTCTTACCATGCAAAAAGCTCCCTGACTTGGGAGCTTGCACTGCAGGAGCAATACTTCCATGCTGACTCATCGCAAAGGTTTCTGTGTGTACCCTTACCAACCATGATGTCCTTGTAGAGCAGAACATTTTGAAACAGAATGCTAATAGCAACTCTGAGGCTTTCAGTCTTCAGAGATATTCTAGCTTTTTAAAAAATCCTCTTAAAATGCAGAAATCATCAGTATGAATATTTTCTTATTTCATGAAGCTCCATAAATAATAGTGCTTTGCCTTCTTAGAGTGCCTTTTATTCAACAATCTCACTTTTCTGACACTAAAGCTTCATAGCATGCTTATAAATGAGGTTGGTATCATACCCTTTTTTAGGCAAAATGATGAGAAAGTGAATGGTTTGCCCATGGGAGGTCTCTTATAGAGGAAAAGCATGTCTTTGGCCTCTGAAATCAACATGTGTTCGGCTGGACATAGCAGGGAGGATATTATCTCCAGCCTCCTGATTCTAAGACACAGGACTTACTCAGCTACATGAGAGAGACAGAATTTTTCTTTTTTCTCCCCTTTTTGTTACATTAGTTTTGTAGGCAGAATTCATCTGGGGCTTCAACCAAAACTAGGCACTGCAGCGTCCAGCTTGATGTGCCATAGGCGAACAATGAGCACAAAAATATGTCAGATCTTAGTAAAATAGGCAGATACATTTCAAATGTGTGCAGTGATAGGTATCAGTAGAGAAAATACTATTTTAATAGACTATTCTCTGACTATGTGAACATTAAAGGAAAACAGTAATAATAGTTGCTTTTGTAGGGGACTTTGAGGTGGACAAAATGGATTGATCTGATTTTTACAGGCCAGGGAGCTGAAGATCGTAGATTAAAGACCTGATTTTTCTTCTCATTGGAGATAAAAGAAACTGTATAGGCAGCATTTCTGTTAGTAAAATAGTAACAACTCTATTCAGAGCACATGCTAACTGGGAATCGCAGAGCTACAGTGGCTCAGTGGCAGGAATAGAGTTGCCCAGTTTGAATTCCCTGGAATTTGTTTCTGCTTAACCCCAGCCTTGGTCTCAGAGCTTTGGGCTCTGTTCTGTCCAAAGAACGGGCAGGCTGTCAGTGTATTTTTATATGTCATGCATTTACATTTCTGTGGTACTGCTGCTGCAGTGTGTGCTCAGGAGAAATCTTCAAACTTGCACAGCATCAGTGGAAATCATGTGTTAAAAATTCAAAGGCAGAATCTCTTACCTTCACCTTGACCATTGTAACTGCTTGGAATGGTAAATTCTTTGACCCATGCTGGAAAAAGGCAAGGGAAGGAGTCAAAGGGGGATGTTTTATCATGTCGGGTGGACATTCCTGTTATAGCTCTCTCTGGATGACAGTTATAAAACTTAAGTCCTGGAGAGGCATTGAAATTTGCTACGATCTAGTTTTAATCATTTTGAACTCCCTTGAGATGAGGTTAGGAGACTTCTGCCACTAGATGTAATTGCTCATTCGTTATTAGTTGGCAGGTGCACTGTAATTATTAAGAATTGCATTCAGTCTTTAATTCTGTCAGTCTGAAGCTGGCTGAGACCTCTCGCTTTGGGACAAGGAAGAGAAGCATCCATGAGAAAAGGCAGAGTGGATGACAGCCTATGAGGTGTGTTAGGACTAGAGTTGGGAATATTTTTATTCCATACATAATCCTGAAGAATGTGACTTTTCATGTGACAAAGACTTCTAATGTCAGCCTTGAAAAAAGAGGAAGAAAATAGAGGACTAGAGATACAGTAGAGATAAATCTAACAAAAAGTGCCATGTGGAGCTTCGATCCCAAAAAGATGTTTCATGAAATGCTCTGAGACAGAGGCTAAAAATTGTGTTCTGCTTCTAATAAGACAGAAAAGGTTGGATGTTATTTGAAACCAAAACTAAATTCCAAACTTGTAAGAGAGCCAAAGCACTATAAAGGTGCTGTGCACACCCTCCAGGTCAGGAGAGCAGCGGTTCCAAGAAGAGTGGTCTTCATGACCCACTTTTCAGTTCATACTTTACTTCTCATCCTAATAGACAAAGCTGACTTGTGTTGGTGAGATTTCCCAGCCAACACGTCCGCAGTTGGAAGAGCAGAGAAAACACAGCTTCATAGGACAGCACCTCCTCATGGCCCCAGCAAAACCAGCCAGCGGTTACCAGGGTCTCTTTTTTCACCTGCCAGAGTGCTGTCTCTGTTCCTCCGAACGAGGATCTGATCCTGCAGCCTCATCTTGCATGAAAGCAATTCCATCAGATCTGCTTGCAGAAAATCGTATCTAGAAGGGAGATAAGCATAATGTAGTAACGGGCTGGAAATTACCTGTGATAAAGAAAAGATTTTGGAAGTGCAAAATCTGCTGCATTGGAGTAACATTGCATTGTATTTTTGTGTCTTCTCTGTTGATGTTCTTTTCTTACAGGAACTAAAGGAGTGCTCCGGCCATGTGTTTGTAGACTCTGTGCCCGAGTTCTGTTTACCAGAGGTGAGTTTGTTCAAAGCCTTACTGAAAAATCTGACTCCATTCGATCATGTGGGAGAAACTTGCTAAATAATTATTATCAGATTCATGCTGATTTATTACTACTGAGTAAATACTGCTACTAAAACCTCTATGTTTTTAAGGTGCCTTTAGTGTCTATGACACTGGAAAAAGGATGGAAACAGCCCTTTTCAAAAATGGTTTTGGGAGAACTGGAAGGTCTCCTTGAGCAGATCAGTATCTCACAGAAGAATAAGACTCAACTGTCCCTTTTTATGGGCCTTCCAAAGACAATATGACTTAGTTGGACTCCATTATGACAGGACACGTGCTGATCTAGATAAGGGTGGTGAATGAAGACAAGGAAAGCTGCTTCTCTCTGACCACAGATGCATGACCTGCCCAGTGGAGCTCCCCTGGGGAGCCGACCGTGTGGTTAAGCCACTGCTGGATTCTGTTGGGCTACAATCAGACGCATTGTACTACTGGCAGCAAATTGAGGTTAAAAAGTTTTGCTGCCTTCTCAGCTATTCACTCCTGCCTCTTTGAGGGAAGAACTGTACCATCATATGCACTGACATAACTGCAAGTAGCTGCTTCTCAGACTAGTTTTGGTTTGTTTTTTTTTTCAAAAATACCTGGGTTTAAAAAAAAAAAGCAAGCAAGATTATTGAAAATGTTTGAATTAACTGGGCTCACCTGACTGATCAGATTAATGGTGTATATAGGAGACCTGAAAGAGTGAAAGGCTGAGCAGAGAGTGGTGGGGGCGAATGATGGGGAATAGACTGGGAATAGTATCCTCTTTCCTCAGCTGTGTTCGGACTGTGATAACATCAGTTCTTTCATTTCATGTCGGGATGTTTTCTCTGTCTTTCAAAGCCGGAGATGATTGCTTTTGGGCAGAGATTTTTTTTTTTCCTTTCTGCCTGACATTGTTGATAGGAAGTACAAAACACTCCTGGAAAGTTGTTGTCACGTTGCTGGGGTTCTGGCAATAGCGTTTCTGTCTGTTGATTCCATGAAACTCACCTCTTGCAGCTTCTGACTCTGTCATCTTGATTCTTCAAAGCAAGTTGGCGGCTCTGGTACTAGTTTTGGCAAGTGATATCAACAGATCTGTGTGCAATTGCTTGTTTTCCCCAACAAGAAAGGATATAATCCAATCACAAAAAAAAACCCATCATAACTCTGAATTCTTGTGTGCTTTCTGGTTACTGTCCTGTGGAAAGGGACGTAGGAAGCATCTGTATGCCCAGAAAGTGCCCTTGTGTCCCAGATCTTGGAAAGGATGGACTTTATTTTGTGTACTCCCTTTGGAATTGAGGCCATGCACGGGAATGACGATCTGCTGGGGTTTAGGGTGCTTCAGCTAGGCTTTCTGGTTACTTTGTTGGGCTGGAAAATACCTACATGTGTAGCTCTAAATATGACTGATGGGGAGTTGCTACATTGTTATACCAGTGTAATCACTGAATCTGTTTTACAGTAGTCCATATTACAACTAGAAGACAGCAACCAGCTGCACGTCAGCAGTGTAGGGACTTTACAATTGGTCTCTCAAATGCTTCGGTCCCCAAAGTTCCCAACAGGTGCCAACTCTTCTCCACAAGCACTAGGAACAGATCTGCTGGTGATGCACAACTCATGTGTCTACCTTCACAGGCTCCTCTGTCTGGAGGAGGGTTCAGATGTCACAGCCAACTGAACACATCAGCAGAATAGAAATGTTGCTGGTGTTTGGCAGCACAGTATAAGAAGAAGCTTGTGTGTAGAGGCTTTGTCATCTTCGTCTCCTTCCACACCACTTCGTTTGAAGAAACTTGTCTGCAAAAGCAGTTAGTTTGAGAATCACAGTATTGCTTCCAGGAACACCATTGCCAAAGAAAGCCAAGTTTTGAATGTAATCCAGAAGCCGCAAGGTGATAAGAGGCTGTCTCAGCAGCAGAGTACGCTTCCACATGTCAGAGTGCAGGGTGCAGCCCTCTCTGCTTGGCAACCTTCTCACTTCACATTCAGAAAACACTTTTAAACCTCTTCAGTTCATAGGCACTTTTAGTGAGATTGCCACAAGTCCCAGGGAAGATTTTACTTTGTGTTGATTTTGACACCCTTTTCATCCTATTAGTAAATGTTTCTAGGATGCTGAGATGTGAGATGCTTAAGCTTGGAAAGTGGTAGCCTGTATCCTCCTGATGGCTCTCTGGGCTGGGATTCAGCTCAGGGCTGAGTGACTCTCCGTTTGATTCCGTGTGGTCTGAACACAGCTGAAAACCAAGCCATGAAGGGCCAGCTTGGTAGGTGCAGTTGTCAGCAGACTCTTTGATATTGCGTAGTGAGTGTATTTCTGCCTGGCAAGCTTAGTAAGATAAAAGGGTGCCCTGTCATGAATCTAAGGATGGTGTTTCACCTACTGTACTCAACTTGGAGATCATGCCTCAGACATTAGCTGTGATCAAGGATTGAAACCATGAGCGCTTAGCTATGAGTTAAGCAGCTTGTCACCAGAGCACTGTGTCAGGCCTCTGAAAAGCCGAGTGACCTACTTTCTTGCCTTTTTTATTCAAATTGCTGGACCAAGCCTTGTAATCAGATAATATGTGCTTGATGAGTGTTGAATTCCATTAGCTGCTCTATAATAACTGAGTTAGAGGTCATATATCTTGTAAATTTCTGACTTGACACCATTTGTGTTATAGCATTACCAGTAAATATTTCTAATTAAAATTCCTTTAACAATGCCCGAAATCTTCTTTCACTCTCTGAACTGCTGTCTTACCTGTCACATCAAAACAAATTGGACCCACCCGTCTGTTTTGTTATATTGTATGAATGAGCCTAATCTCCTGCTGTAGAAAATGTGAATGATGAAGATGCCAAGCATTTAGTTTGGGAAAATATGAGAATTATTTTAAGTGTATGAATAAATACAGTCTACATTCATTCTCTCCCTGTCCTGGGGTACAACACTATGTGTAACATAAAAAATAGGAGACATTCTGCTAAATAATTACTGCAGAAGTTTTGGTGTCTGCTGTGTTCGTCCTTAAGGAAGCATACACATCAGTTCTTTGATAAAAGTTTAATCATCGTGCCTCTCAACAGCAGCCATTACATGAAAGACAGACAAACCCAGGACATGATTTCCTTTTCAGATTTGAGAATGAAATAATTTTAGGGGGCTTTTTAAATAAATCTTGTTAATTTAAAGGAGACCCTAATCTTTGCTATGGCTGAGACATGCTCTTCCCCATTGTTTTAATAAACTGATGACATCTCTGCAATATGAGGTTTAAAAAAAGAAAGCACAAAAAGTTTTTCTGCCATTGCTTAAACTGCATGAAAGGGTTACGTGTTGCTTATCTCTTCCCTCTGTTTTCAGACTGAGCTGCTTGACCTCTCCACGGTAGATGTAATCTTGATCTCAAACTATCACTGCATGATGGCGCTGCCCTATATCACAGAGTACACAGGATTCACTGGAACCGTGTATGCCACTGAGCCCACTGTTCAAATTGGCAGGTAAAAAGCCCCTTAATATTGTCTACTTCTCTTTCATCACTGCTAAGGAAAAGGTGTAAAGGACAATATGGGTAAAGAGTCGTGTCTAATGTTCCGAAGAGGCTCTTAGGCAGTAGCTGAACACCAGCCAAGTCCTTAGTGCTGCAAATGTTTTAACTCAATGTTTCCCAACCTCTGGAACCATCTGTCTTCAACATTTCCAGCAGGTACTTTGTGTTGAGTTCAGACAGTACATGTGGGATAGTAGATCTTGAGTGGACTGAGACACCTTGAGCAGCAATTACCAGATAACCAACTTCAAATCTTCAAAAACCACAAATCAAAGATCTCTCCTGTTCTCTCTGCTCCCCTTAAAAGAGGAATCACCAATCTTTTCAACTATAAATGACTTTAAGATGATTGCCTTGTAGGTTTTCAGCATTTGTTATTCATATAATCATGCGTCCCTCCAGACTATGGAAGGGAATTTAAACTGTCTTCATCTCAAATGACAGTTGAGATACATAAACTCTGAGAGCCAAAGAGAATCACTACGAGAAACAGCAGAAAAACAAGACTGAAGTAGAAAATCTAAGACCTGACAATACAGTCAAAAACTTAATACTTGGTCATCAAATTTGGCAGTCTTTTCTTACAAAGTTGTGTGTTGATTGGATAAGTTGATACCAAAGACTGCAGGTTTGGCCCTCGATGAAGTCTGACTGGGCTTGTGCTGTATGCATCTGTCATGCAGAACAGCTGCAAAGTTCAATAATTAGAAAGCAGATTAGACCATGATATCTGAACTACTCTGTAAGCACTTTAGGGCAGGAATCTTTTTCTAGTAAAGGACCTATGTAAACTTTCCAAGCCGAAGTAATTCTCCCTTTGTGTAAAAACAAACAGAAACTGAAGGCCCTTGTAGGAGAAAGGAATTGTATAAACATGAACTAGTAGTAGACTTCTGAGGTATTGCTGGTCCATAGCTGAAGATAACAAGCATAGTCTTGTTGGAGAGTATAGTGGCATGGTTCTCCCCACCCTAAGTAATTCCAGATGCCATTCTTCTGCAGTTAAATCTGTCCTTCCTACCTTTAAGGAGAAGCATGCATACAATTACGAATGCTGTTTGGTTTTGGGCAGTGAAATCTGCTGTGCCAATTTTTAATGCCTGACATATTTTCCTGTCTCCAATGCTGTATCGTGCATTTGTAGATGAGGAGAGCTCACTCTGACAATGTGCTTGGCTTCTCTAAGTGAGAAACAGGCATCAGCTAATGAGTTTTCTTCATATATGTTGTCTTATTCTGTATGACAATCAGTCAGTAACATAGAAATCATCTTGCACAGCAGGAGAGAGATCTGGGAGTTCCTCTTGTCCTGCCACCTTCCAGATAACCCATAACCCAGCGGGCTAGGTCCTTTGCTGTTGCAGCCAGGCAGACAGAATTGGATTAACTTGAGCTTGATGCACTCAGTGGGGAAACAGGGGTAGTCCTGGTGATGGGTCATTGCTGCGGTGCCTCTGCAGGAGGAACCTCTCTAAAACTGCCTAATAGTGTTACAATTTGTGTGATATTTTGAAAGCATTTGGGACAAAGTTCTCTTTTGTCTGAAGGGCTGCGATACTAATTTAGTTACGATATCTTTTCAGACTTCTCATGGAAGAACTGGTGAATTCCATTGAACGTGTGCCAAAGGCTCAGTCCGCCTCCATGTGGAAGAACAAGGAGGTACAGAGGTAAGGAATAAGCCACCAGGAAAGGGTGACTGTCCTACAACACTAACCAAAATTTAGAATTCACTGTAATGGTGGGTCAGCTGCCACCATTTGAGATTCGGTACTACGGTTAAGCAGACAAAAAGCCTAAGAGGTTTATAGCTATGACTCCTTGGGTCGGTTCTTTCTTTAATCGCTTGCACGTTGTTGGTCTTCCAACCAGCCTCACAGGTTTGATTCTTGGAGGAAGACTTGGTAACACAAAAGTCTCCACTGATCTCCCCTCACATAGCTTAGCTCCATGATGGTAGCTAAAACCAGCAGATTTTTGTATTAACATAATAAAAAGTTGTTGAAATTAGCAAGCTATTTAAACTTAATTATATTGTATTGGAATAATTTTAATTTAAAATTATATTTACATTCGTGTTTGCTGAAATGCTAAGAAAGGCAAAACACCACTGTTGGAGGTCACTGGTGGCCAACCGTGGAGCAGTGCTACCTTTCTTCCTGGGGCTGCAGCCTCTTTTACACTTGAACAGCAGAGGTAGGTTTTTCGGCTTTTCAAAGCTGAGAAATTAAAAAGGTTAGTTGGAAACCTGTCCTTTTTTTCACTTACAAGTGAAAAACAAAGTGCTCTAAATTGAGGTCTACATGTAAAATTTTGAAAGTCTATGTAAATCTAAAAATTATCCATACAGTTTACTAATTGCAGATAATGCTTTCCTTGGAAATGAAAACAACTTTAGGTGCACAACATGTTCTAGGGAAGAGACAATTTTGGTTTTAGCACATTTTAAAGATAGGGCCAGTTGATTAGAAAGTTATTTTTAAAAGCTGCTTTGTGCATTTTTAATTCATCTCCTATTTTCTAATCCTAATTCTTAACATGGCTTGATTTAAAAGTTTACTAAAAATTAATTATTTCATACATTATAAAAGTAGTCTTGTTATTTTCCAATATCACAAAGCAAAGAAATTAAAAATCCAAATGAACATATGTTTATATGTTTTATATATTGTACTCCTCTGCTGATCGTAGGAGCAGCCTTATCGCTGTAGCTCTCACTCTTCTGAAGGTAGCAAGTAAAACGCAGATGTAAAACAAAACTAAAGACAATAAAATTGATCAGGATTTTGTGCTGATTGATGTGTATTCTGATCAGAATAGTGAGGTTTTTTAATTTTGGAGTCCACTGGCCTGCCAGAACCACACCTGAAGCTCACAGTGATGTGGAGAGAGAGGACTGGAGCCGTTATTCTCGTCACACTTCTGCATGTGTTTTGTATGCATGGTTTAAAGGAGGATCATATATCTTGGAGCTCGTTTAATGTCACTTTCCTGGTGGTCCTATTTTAGAAAAAGTGCTGTCTAGCACTTTACGTGCTGTTGACTATTCCAGAGGCGAACTCAGAGAGGTGATCTTTGTTCTGACTCAACTGCTGTAGAAGGCTAGAGTCTTTTTGTTGGAGCGGCGTTTAAAATATATTTTTCTGGCTTATATTGCCTGTGAAGTCCCCTAACGCTGACAGTTTCTCCTGGATACTATCAAGCAGCTGTTGTAACGGGGTACCAATGGAGGTAGGAGGAAGGTATAAGAACTCACCTCTGGTGATAGACAGGACCAACCCTTGTGTCCCACTTGCAAGACCCCTGTGGAGCACAGAGCACTGACACAATATGGTACGTTGTTGAGAACCTCGATCAGATGGCAGGTCCCCCAGCTTCCATAAAATGCACACCGTGCCCAAATATGACATAAAGGTAGAGCAAAGAAGTGCTCTGCTAGTGGGGGTAGCCAGACGTAGCCCTGCAGCTGTTTAGTAACATAAATCTACATGTCATCAACTCTGCCTTGAGGCTGGTATGAACTAGTGTTGTCTGTGAGCTGGAACAGGGGCACAAATCTGAACTCCCTTTCCAACTGTGCCACACCTGTGCTCTTGAGTTTCTCCCTTGAGCTCTGTATGCTGTAGAATGGAGCTCCTATCCAACATAGAGGATACACAGGGACTTAATTAATGTTTGCAAAGTGTTTTGAGATTCCTGGTGACAAGTGTCATGCAAGCGTGAATGGAACTGATTATTATAGCGTGTGAGCAAACATCTACTGATCCGCAAATTAACACCTGGCTAATAGCACATGCAGGGTTGGACTGACATCCGTTATTTAAGAAAATGTGATCCTTGGTGAATTTTTTTTTTAATATTTGGCTGTTACTAGAACAGAACACTTATTACTTCTGAGTCTAACTTTAATTTTTCAGGCTGATCAATCACCATTACTGCTTTACAGTTCAGCTAGTTCTACTCTGAATAGTTAGTATAAAACACAAAGTATTATCATCTTCATTAGATAAAGCATTGAAGCATTTTAAATGCAAATACTGTATAAAATATAAGAAGTTCATTATAGTGGCTTACGTTTTTCATTATCAGATCCAGTCTGAACTAATTGCTTAGCAAGTTTTATTACCATTCGTTTTTATTTTAAATGAGCAATCTCATGGAAGCTCTATAGATGCTCAACCAGGGTATCTTTCACACTTATTAGGATTCAGGAGGCTAAAGAGGAAGTTTGCCTTGTGAAAGACACTTTGTCGACTACGTGTTGCATGATTTCTTTTATCTTTCTATAAAATGTCTGAAACAGCCTCTTTCCTGAGACGGAGCAGTGTGCAAGAGAGGCCAGCATTTTGATCGGGTTTGGTACTGCCATCCTCCTCTCCCTTCAAAGAAGATCATGTTATGTCATATACTAAAGGTTATCCTTTGCATTGAACAGGAGGGACTGTCTGTGCAGATGTCCAGTTAAGAATACAAGCCTCTGAGTTTCTTAAGCATAAATTTTGTATACTAACCCCTGGACTGTGCTGCTTCACGATACCTTTGTGTTTGTGGCTGTAGGCTGATTGTCTCGGCCTCTGCCCACATACCTCTGATTGTTATGAGGTGATCCATAATAGCATGTTGCAGTACTGTTAGTAGATTCACCCCAGACTTTAAAATATCCTCTAGTAACTTTCTGTACAAATTTTAAAAGTGTGAGTGACAGGTTGAATGCCAGCAGGGGCACATCTGAGGAACAAGCAATCCTCATTGTCTCTGTGCGCCACTCAGCAAGGAGTGAAACCACTGGATACTGGTGCCGCTGGTTTCTGTTAGGGATCAGAGTATATTTACAGTGTAGCCAGAGTCAGGGCTAATAGAAACTTACTTCAGTCACTAAGGACAATTCCCCACTTTTCTCCATTACCTGGAGATATATTCTCCTCTTCCCAGAAGTTCCTGAAAGCATCCAACACTAAATGCTTCTTATGGTAGGTTAAAGGCTTTTACAGGCAATTTGCTTCAGTGCAACAGTGGACAACTATCCACATTGTCTGGCCTTTCGTTGCTTATGACTTCCCAAAAAAGACCTTGAACGCTTTGTTTGTTTCCTTAAGCGCAGTATGCTTTCAGCCAGCATGTGCTGGAATTACTGTTATCACACTAGACCTGTACAGCGGTCTTGGCAATAGCTGGCCTGAATCCTTTCTTCGTATCTTAAATTATGGAGAAGTTCACTGACCTAGTAGATATAACAATAAATTAAATTCCTTTAAACAAATTGATCAAAGAAACTTGACCAATTTCCATAAATCTTTGGAAATTGGTTTGAATTAGCCTTTGATTTAGCATTGGTTTAATATACAAAAAAAAAATCCTATTCTTCTTACACATTTGGCAGCTGTGCTGCTTCCTGCCTCGGTTCGTGTTGCTAAGGAAGATTTATTTCCCAGAAGTTAGCCATCTCTCTTACAGCCTGTGACATTACAGTTCACTTCTTCCCTTGATGATGCTGTCCAGCTAACTTGCAATGTCTGTGAAGAGCAGAATGGATGGATTTTACTTTGGTGTAAAACATCTTCAATACTTTTGTGTAGGGGATTTCAAAGAGCTCTGCAGTGTCAGCTGATATGTCCTTGCCAGTACACCCAGAAGGCAAGCTGGGTATCTGATTGGAAGGCAAGGAAGATGAGGTGCAAGGGCACGTGCTCTTGTAAGAGACTAGAGACAAAAACGAGAGCAGAGCCAGCCTTTATTCATGGTCTTGTACCTATATTTTAATCGCATGATTGTGGCTTACTTTCGTTTTCGAATTCTTAGGATATGCGAAACAGACACTGATCCAAGATCGCAGTCATCTGTACCAATTCTAGTGGTGCATTTCATGTTGACATATCAGATCAGCCAGCATCTTTCATCAGTGGTGAAAATACCACAAGACTTGCTCTGACACCTTCATCACAGCAATTTCATTGATGAAAGGGCTGAATAGGAGCAACAGAGAGCTGAAGGAGAGCAGTCTTTGCAGTGAGGCAAAATGGGCAGTGTTGTTCTGCTCCTTAACAAGCAGAAAGTCTTGCTCCTCACTTTGAAGCACCAGGCATATGTAAAATAAAAAGAAAAAAGAGAAAAATCTAAGTGCTGGAGAATATAAATGGAAATAAAAGCTGATTGTCCATCTGGAAGTTCTGAAAATGCCCCCACCTTGTTGACCTTTGCAGATTGCTGCCTGCCCCTCTGAAGGACGCGGTGGAGGTGTCTATGTGGAGGAAGTGCTACACCATGCCAGAAGTGAATGCTGCACTCAGTAAGATCCAGCTTGTGGGATATTCTCAGAAAATTGTGAGTACCTGTAAAGCTGTCCTCAGGTCAACAGTGACAAATTGTTTTTTACCAGCTTTTCTCTGGAAATGCCTTTCCTTTTCTGTTTTCCTCCAGATCCTGAATAAGGTCTAGTTGCCCTAGGCTAGCATAGGAAAACAAGACAAGATTCTATTGAATGTCTCTCATTCTGCCTCTCAGGAAGGGTTCTTGTTTGGTGAAATCAGGGAGTATCCATTTATTTCTTCTCTTCCTTGGGGAGGCCAATTTTAAGGCAGTGTACCTTCAAATTTGGAGTTGATGGCTGGCCTGTTGAGAGCTGGGAGGATGTACCAAATGAATGTATCCTCTCTGTCTGTAAGCCACATCCCCTTCTGAGTTACCTTCTGGGAATCTTTTGAGTGCTTTAGCCTCCAGTTTCTTTTATACTGCAATTTAGGGATTGTAAACAAAACCTAATGGTTTGACTTCTTTCCCAGGGTTCCCAGCTAACGTTTGTTGTCTATAAGGCCGTTGACTATAATCCAGTGTAGTTTCTAGAATGAACTGAACCAACAATTTGTTAGTCTGCAGATACACTGATCCCTTACGGCTTGTAGGCAGCATGTGGGCTGTGGTAACTGCTATTGTTGCTCAGATCTGTAAGAAGTAAAAAGGTGGGTTAAATTAAGTTGTGTACCCAAAGCTTTTTATTTGCTCCCTTTTCTTAAGCAATGGGCCACTGAAGTTTGGAGGCAGCTCTTTACCTGTAAGACAATTTGAAACAGTAACCAGTGCTGCTGGGGACTAAATTTGGTGGCTTTGGGTATTTGTGGTGCTGGTGAAAAAAGACCCCGAGCCACCACTAACGTGGCTGCTGACATCAGTAACAGCTGCAGCTTTGTCTAGCAACTGGACAGGTTGAGGGCATTTGGACTCCTCAGTGTCTGTGGGTGGTTACTGTTCATTTTTGACTATCCTCACAGTGTGACTGCATCTCACCTAATTTTAGATCTGTGCATCTGAGCCAATCATTCTTTTATAGTTACTGGGAAAAGAGACATATTTTATCTCTTCCCAAAGCTAACTTTTAAAATAATCAGACCGTAATTAGCCACTTAACCCAAAACTAGGTGACAGCATCAAGAATGAGTAGTTGTCCATTTTGAAGGTCTGCATGTCAGCAGAGTCTAGAGCCTTGGTTTATGCACTCTGGGGGATGGATACCCTGCCTTGTTTTGCAAGGCATCCAAATATGTCTTGAGATACTAGAAAAATCATTAGTATTGCATGAATCAGATGCTTGTTCTATTATTCAGTAACCAGAAAGTAGATCACATTAGTGAGGTATACATGGAGGCTTATTTTCCTTTCTCAAAACAAGTAGAACACATTACTGTGTACAGATAAAGCAATACACTTTCTAATGACACCTGGAAAGGAGACAACTGTCAGGTTGCTTATGCTTAAAGCTGAAACTGAAATTTGAATTGAGTTTGCTGGGTGTTCTTTCTAAATCACCAGTAGATAGCATTTAAAAAGAAATACAGTTAGAAAGTGAGTGAGTTTGAAGTTAAGTTTATGTTTTCCATGGCGAATGTGTAACCCAAACAGAGATTTGTATCAGCACGGAACTGGTTGCCCTTCCTTCTCTCCTGCTGGCCAATATCAGTAAAATTTGACTAAGGGAACATAGACACTTCAAAGATGTAAAGCTCCTACAAGCTTCTTCAATACAGCAAAGACAGAGGATCAAGATCCCAGTTGATTCCTTCATTTAGGTTCATAGAATCATGGAATAGTTTGAGTTGGAAGAGTCCTTAAGAGGTCATCTAGTCCAATCCCTCCTCACAATTAACAGGGACATCTTCCACTAGATCAGGTTGCTCAGAGCCCTGTCCGACTCAACCTTGAATGTTTCCAGGCATGGAGCATCTACCACCTCTCTGGACAACCTGTACTAGTATCTCACCACCCTCATTGTAAAACATTTCTTCCTTATATCTAGTCTAAGCCTATCCTCTTTTAGTTTAAAACTGTTACCCCTTGTCCTATTGCAACAGGCCGTGCTAAAAAGTTTGTCCCCATCTTTCTTGTAGGCCTCCTTTAAGTAATGGAAGGCTCCCCAAAGCCTTCTCTTCTCCAGGCTGAACAGCCCCAACTCTCTCAGCCTGTCTCCATAGCAGAGGTGCTCCAGCCCTCTCATCGTCTTCATGGCCTCCTCTAGACCTGCTCCAATAGCTCCATGTCCTCCTTATGTCGGGAACCCCAGAGCTGAACGCAGCACTGCAGAGGGGGTCTCACAAGAGCAGAGCAGAGGGGCAGAATCCCCTACATCGACCTGCTGGCCACACTTCTTTTGATGTAGCCCAGGATACAGTTGACTTTCTGGGCTGCGAGCACACATTGTCGGCTCGTGTCCAGCTTTTCATCCACCAGTACCCCGAAGTCCTTCTCAGCAGGGCTGCTCTCAATCCCTTCGTCCCCCAGTCTATATTGATGCCAGGGCTTACCCTGACCGACGTGCAGGACTTTGCACTTGGCCTTGTTGAAGTTCATGAGGTTCGCACAGACCCACTTTCTAAGCTTTTTCATCCTGTCCCTCAGGCATGTCAACCGCACCACTCAGCTTGGTGTTGTCTGCAATCTTGCCGAGGGTGCACCCTATCCCACTGTCTATGTCACCGATGAAGATATTAAACAGTACTGGTCCCTGTACAGATCCCTGAGGAATGCCACTTGTCACCGATCCCCATCTGGACATTGAGCTGTTGACTACTACTCACTGGATGCAACCGTACAACCAATTTCTTATCCACTGAACAGTCCACCCATCAAATCCATATCTTCAATTTAGAGAGAAGGATTTTGTGGGGCACAGTGTCAAAGGCCTTGCAGAAGTCTAGATAGACAACATCCGTAGCACTTCCCTTGTCCACTGATGTAGTTGCTTGGTCATAGAAGACCACTGGCTTGGTCAGCCAGGACTTGCCCTTGGTGAAGCCATGGTGACTGAATCACCTCCCTGTCCTCCATGTGCCTTAGTATAGCTTCTAGGAGGACCTGTTCCATGATATTCCAGGTACAGAGGTGAGGCTGACAGGTCGGTAGTTCCCAGGGTCCTCCTTTCTACCCTTTTTAAAAATGGGTGCAATGTTTCCATTTTTCAAGTCACCAGGGACTTCACCTGACTGCCATTACTTTTCAAATATCATGGAGAGTGGCTTGGAAGCTACATCGGACAGTTCCCTCAGGACTTTGGGATGCATCTCATCAGGTCTCATAGACTTCTGTATGTTCACGTTCCTCAGGTGGTCATGAACTTGGTCTTCACTTACAGTGGGAGGGACTTTGCTCCCCTAGTCCCTACCTTGTGGTCCATCCACTCAAGACGTGTGGGAAGAGAGGTTACTAGTGAAGACTGAAGCAAAAAAAGTTGTTGAGTACCTCAGCCTTCTCCTTGTCTGTGGTTAGCAGTTTGCCAGTTATGATTCAGTGTGAACTCAGATGCCGTAGAATTCATGTGGAAGAGAGACTTTATGAAGGCCCTACCTCAGGAAAAGCTTTTCTCAGAGCATGTGTCCTGTTAGACATTGGTAAATAAAACCAGCAGACATAAAGCTCAGGAAACTAGCTTCATAAAGGCTTTGAATAGCAGCAGTACTTTTAAAATTGATGTCACTGATGATAAAATGAGCTGTTCCAACTTCTCTCAGAGGCTTGCTCAAGTTAACGTCTCTTGCTGTGTGTTTCAGGAGCTGTTTGGTGCTGTGCAGGTCACCCCTCTCAGCTCAGGCTACGCTCTTGGAAGTTCCAATTGGATAATCCAGTCGCACTACGAAAAGGTTTCCTATGTTTCAGGATCTTCTCTACTTACAACACACCCTCAGGTACAGCCCTTGACTTTTGCTAGTCTGCTATAGGGGGAAGTGCCTTTGCTCGGAAAAAATAGAGAGGCTTATTTCAGCTGGGATCACGTGTAGTATGGAAACTGTACAAAGGTACTTCTGTTAGTAGTTGGCAAGACTTTTAATGGGCATTGAGAAGACATACTACCCTGATAACTGGACAGGTATCAACAGTTGCTCGGGAAAGACAACTCAAATTCTTTGTTAGCGAGGATTTGATGTTAATTTACTCACCAGCTGGAAAAGTCTCCTTCACCGTAAGTAGGAAGTTTTCAACAGAGTTAAACAATAGAGCATTAGTGACTTTTTTTTAAATCTATATTTCACTGAAGAGTCTTTACAGGCAGTTCACAGGCTGCTTCTATATCACTTCTGAAACATCCTTCCTTGGGAGAAATGATAGCTAACTGGCTGCCAACTTTTCCACCCTGCTCTGCTAAGGGCAAAGTCTTTATAGTGCTATAGATGTAATTTCCAGTAAATTAATTCTCTCTAGATCCATAAATTCTTAGTGCAAAGAACGGCTTGAAGTTTGCAGTACTCTGCGCTTCAGAAGTTGTCAAAATAGTTAAAAGCAACATGAGCAGGAGGTATTTAAAAATAATTTACAAAATGCTTCAGGTTCATGATCAGTAAGTAATTTCCCCCAAGGTGAGTATCTTCTAAAGAGCTTTGCTTCTGAGCATCCTTCATTTAAAAACTGGATTTCAGGAGCCGAACAACTACAATAGATAAACCATCTTTAATAGTATGGCTGTATTTAGCTGCCTGCACTGTATCAGATTCTCAAAATCCTTTTTTCTCATCAGCCTCATACTGGCCTGGGTTGTTTTCTTTCGTCACCAAGTGAAGGGGCAGCAGCAGTATTTGACAAAATATGAGTGGAATACTTCTGTGAGGAGAAACTTTGCACTATAGGAAGTGGTTTGGTAACTGAGAGTGTTTTCATTGACATGAAATGGTGATTCAGTTTATCAGGTTAGACTGCCCATGCTTCATCGTTTTGCAAAGGTGAACATTTCTCTGGAAACTTCTGGTAAAAATCCCTGTTTTGATGGAAATGGTTCGTGAATTAACTGCCTGGTAAGAGCACAGCCTATGGGCAGCAGATCTGCACTCACTGCAACCTGCAGAAGTGGTAGCAGTTAGAGCAGTTTCAGATTTAACAAGCGCAGGAAAATGTACTGCAAGCCCACCTAAAACCCTAGAGACCTACTCTCTTTGCTAACAAGAGATGAAATCTGGACTATTCACTCTGCTGACAGTGTTGCTTGTCCCACATGCTCTCTGAGAGCCTCATTTTTTACCACAGTCCGTGGCACTTTGTTTTATACTAACACATAGTTCGAAGGAATACCTTACCAGATAGTTGAAATTACATTCAGTTTGGCCTTTTCTTGTTATTTACCATATCGCAAATGTTACCAGATATCATTTGCATATCAGATACCATCACTGTCTTATATTTGCTTCTAGATAGTTGTTGAAGACAATGGATAGCTTTTGTCCCTGTGAACACCAGCACAACCTCCTACAATATGGTGATTCTGTAATGGCTGGTGGTTTTTGTGAGCTGCCAACCAGCTCTTCATCTGTTTGATGTTTGACAGACAATATGTAATGATAACAATATCTTGAGTGGCATGGAGTCAAAATTGTGTTCAACAAATCAGCATTTTTCATCAGGGAGTGAAAAGTTGTTTGTCTGACCTGTTTCTCTATAGAATCATGGTGAGCCGTCATAATGAAATTCCTGTCTTTACCAGTGTACGAAAACAGTCACTGCATTTTGTTTTAAAAAGCATATCCAGTTAATCAGCATATGTTTCTGTAAAAACATATCCAGAGCTTTTTGAATGATAGTAAAACCTTAACACTTTTCCAGTCTTCTGGAACTCCCTCTATAGTTATTAAAAATGAGCTTCAGTTGACCAGGCTGTCATCAGCTGATTGTTTGTTTAGAGTGATAAGACACAGATTATTTGGGCATACAAATGGAAAAATGCTTTGTCCTCTTACATGTGGTCTAATACATGCAGTAATAGCCTGGAAAGCATTTCCTTCTCTCAGGGTGCAAACAGGGTAAGGTTCCTCTCGCCTTACCAAAACTGAGTCCCCAGCCAATCCTTCCCTCCTTCCGCCGGCACTGGGATTTAAGTGCTGACAAAGTGGAGATGGCGGCGTGAGTGGGAATTAGGAGTCATGGAAGGGAGCGTGATTGCTGCTTTGGTATGAATTACGGCTTAAAATTTTCTTGAAATTTTAAGTTACATCTAGGTTGCATCTATGATGGGCAGAGAGTTACGATGCATCTTTAATCGCCCATCGCTATTAACAACAGATAGAAAGTGAAGCATTTAGCTTAGCTCAGACATGGCCCGGGACGTACAGATTAGCTGAAACCAGGTGCAGTGAATGCTGCCTGTTGGGTTGATCTTGGATGCAGAAGCAGGAATATCTTGTGAAATCCTGAGTGGATCTGTAGGAAGTGCAAGTGACGGGTTCAGCAAGACTGTATTCATAGCTGCTGAAAATAACTGAAGAGCTTTGGAGGGTTTGTTTGAGAGTTAGGTCTGGCACCATTAATTGTTCCCTACTCTTCTGTCTTCTGGCAGATGGTTTCTATTGAAAATTTTCCTCACCCTGTACTGAGGCTAGAACTGACACTGTTGCCACTGAAGTGGAGAACAGGAGTTGACAGCACAAGTTCAGACATGTCACTAAAAGCCTTTTAAGACATATTCTTTACATTAACCCACAAAAATCGATGCAAGCCCTTTCAGAGCAATAGCAGCTGAAATTATGCGTATCTAATATGGCATAGTCATTATGTACATTATCACAGGCAGATTCAATATTATTTTTTATTGCATTATTGGCATTTCATTTTCACGGACACACTATGGAGAGTCAAAGATTGCAATAAATCTCACGTAACTGATCTGGTCCTACAAGTGTAAACTTCTGTTGAAGTTGATATGAAATTCCGCTGCATATTTAGCAGAGCAAGGTCTTTCTCAACTGCTTAAGAATGGCACTGAGGGAACTGTGAGCAAGGGAATTAACTGTACAATGGTTTTCACTGGAAATCTTGTCATCAGTCTTTTTGGTAGAAATCTTTCCTGGTTGGTAGGTCTGAAGAGGGTCTGTTGGGAATAAATAACCATAAAATACCATGCAGCTGGCTGCAGTTGCCCACCTTTGCTTGAATAGTAACTGTGGGAAGTACATCGCAGCCCAGAGTGAGGCTAAAATTTAACTTTTCAACATAAATGTGCTGTGTCTGCAGAGAGAGAAGTGACTTCTGCCTTTTCAAGACTGAATTATGCTAAATTTTGAGTATCGAGAATATATATTTAATATCAGGTCACCCTTTAGGATAATTTCTGAATATCTACTCTATGTTTGCTAATGGAGAGAAGTGGGTGTGTGTTTTCATTCTGCTTTACTAAAATGCCAATATTAAAACATGTCAAATGATCGACCTCAGTGACAAAAGTGTAAGCCTTTATGCACAGTCGAGGCAGAAGCAATGTTTGCTTTAACATTAGACTGCCTGCCAGTGGCCAAGTGGCCTCTCTTTTTCCTTGGACCATTTAATTGTCAGTCCCTCTGCTGCGTCTATGTGCCACAGGATAGACTGTGGAAATGTAAACTCTTCTGTCTCCCAGGCAGCAGAGGTGGCATGGACAGATGCTTGTGATTGCTACCTTCAGCACTTTAACTGCATAATCTAGGGTTGTACCTATGACTATAGGTCATCAGTACAACATACACTGTAGACCCAGCAGACCAGAGGTCATAACCCTGCAAAGACATCTATTTCACTTTGACATAGCTTAGCCTCTAGCACAGTCTTCAAAGAAAGGTATTGGTGAAGGGCATAATGGTAATCTGGTTCACTAGGGGAGACTGGGAAGCCAAGTTATATTTTCTCTATTATTTTAGCTCTGATGTTGCATTGGGAGCACAACTTTCTTGTAGGGTTTTTTTTTTGTGCTGTTGAAGCTATGATTTTTCACCTGTTTTCAGCTACTGGCTTTGTCAATATTAAAGAATCTAAAAAAATTTCTCTTTTCTACCATCAGTAGCCATTTACCATTTCAGAAAATCAGACTTCTAAAGAGGCCTGTGCAAACAATCTGAAATTAGTATTTGAAAGACAGAATCATAGAATGGTTTGGGTTGGAAGGGACCTCAAAGATCATCTAGTTCCAACCCCCCTGTCACGGGCAGGGACACCTTCCACTACACCAGGTTGCTCAAAGCCTTATCCAACCTGGCCTTGAACACTTCCAGGGATGGGGCAGCCATGACTTCTCTGGGCAACCTGGTCCAGTGCATCACCCTCAGAGGGAAGATTTTCTGCCTTAGATCTAATCAAAATCTCCCCTCTTTCAGTTTAAAGCCATTGCTCCTTGTCCTGTCACTACATGCTCTTGTAAAAAGCACCTTTCCAGCTTTCTTGTAGGCCCGTTTAGGTACTGGAAGACTGGTTTACAAACATTTCATGGTTGTAATACTGTGGGCAGAAGAGCAGACTTCCCAGTCAAGACAGAGCCTTGTGTGGCGTTCCGATTCATACACAAAATGGAGATCTTTGAGCCTGAAATACTTTGCTGATCTCATCTCCGTGAAAGAGAATCCACTGAATGGTTGAGGAAAATGGTACTTCCCCCTGTAGACAGTGAGCCCTGGAAATCAAAGCTGAAAAAAGGAAAGTGAGTTGGAAACTAGAGCAGCCAGAGATAGGAATGCAAGTGTTAAACCCTTCCTGACTGTACTGCCACATCCTCAGCAAATTATTGTCTTTCAGTGTTCAGCTCCTAAGGCTATGAAATGATTAGTCTGTGGAGACTACTTCGAGATGTATCCGGTTACAGTTCCATTGTTTGTTTTGGGCTGTACTATGTAGGTAAACAGTTGTATGTTTTTTTATTAACTTTGGTTAGGTTTCCACAGATGGAGGGATGTTAAGTTTAAAGTGTTCCATGTGTTCTCCTTGGTCACTGTATCTATTACGTATTGCAGAGTTCTTGCTGCAGAGCAGAGCAACCTGTGTTATAACTCTCATGTTACTCATTTTATTTCACTGTGCTCTGTTTCAGCCCATGGACCAGGCTTCTCTTAAAAATAGTGATGTTCTCATCCTGACGGGTCTTACACAAATCCCTACTGCTAACCCAGATGGCATGGTAGGAGAGTTCTGCAGCAACTTGGGTAGGTCGTTGAAATAAGTCTTTTGCCTATTTCATCATCTTATTCATTGCTTTGGGTGGGAAATCATTGAGATTCCTGGAACTGAATAAGTTGTCCAGCTATAGCTTCTGGCATAAAACTAGCTGTTTAGATTTTACGATGTGCTCCTGATGTCATTAATACAGTAAAGTGCTTGGAGAGACACAAGTTGTACCTAAAATGTTTTGGAATGGAACAGGTATAATGAGATTTAATCATCTGCTGCTCTTGGTTTGCTAAGTATGTTGCTTAGCTGCCAACAGACTACGTGTTGCCTAGGTTTTGGATATTGTTCCCAGCTGAAATATTACTATTTCCTTCCTGTATATCAGCCAGTGTAAAATCTTTACATGCTTTTTTATGACTTTCAGCTTTGAAAACAAGCACATCTGCTTCCCTTCTTACACCTGATTTTTAAATATATCAAAAGCAAACAGCACAATCTGTTTAAAAAAATAAATCAAGATATATTTATAGACTCCAGAAATATAAAACCTAATCAGACGCTTTCACAGCTGGAAAAGCTGATAATTGCAAAGCTGTGATAGCAGTGTGAATGGCAGCATTTTCCAGCCTGTTTGGAATGTCACATCCAGTGCTGTTCTCTCCTTTTCTCCCCTTCCCCCACCTCAGTTCCTCCATGCACTCACCCTTCTGTCATCAAACTGCTTTCTCATCTCTGTCTTGCTGTATATTGCCTGTTCTTTGATCAGAGATCTTCTCTTTATTTTAAACTAACTACTTTTTTTACAAATAAGACTAAAAAGCTCGTGATACAAGGATTGTTACAAAGGTTGTCAAAAGACATTAGAAATCTAAATCAGGGAATCCTCACTGTAAGCAAGAGTTCTGGTCCCCATGACATGCCTGGGAGAAATTTGAGCTGTAGTATTTAGGTGGCTTACCCAAGGTTGTAGAATAAGACTGAGAACAAAACTGAAGTGCAAACAATTCTTAGTCTTACTCTTTACATGTGCATGTACCCTTGGAGAAGAAAAATACCACAATACTTGTGGGTTTTTTCCCATTTTAAAATCCTCATGCATATTCACAGATGCTGAATATCTATATACTGTCTCACAGTCCCAGTATGAGACTGCTGTGATAATAGAAGGCAAATAATAAAAGGGATGTGGTAGATTCCTCCATGATAATAGAAGGCAAATAATACAAGGGATGTGGTAGATTCCTCCATCACCCAGTATCTTTAAATCAAAATCAGATATCCCTGTGTAGGACACGTTTCAGTTGAAACAGGAGTCATAGGTCCTGTTGTGGCATGTACAAGGTAAAATTATGTGGGGTTTGGGTTTTGTTTGTATGAAAAGACGAGTTACAGGGTCAGGATGATTCCTTCTAGAGTAAATACCTATTAATACAGTATGTTTTGGCATTTTATAAGTATGATAATCTTGGGTTATACCAAAGATCCTCTTCGCCAACATCCTGGCTCCAGCAGGGCTTATGCGCAGATGTCTACAGGAGACTAGGAAGAACAGGACAAGACTATGTAATATTTACCCCTCATAATTTCATAGCCTTAAACTATTTTTATTTCAGGAATTTCCTGAATGAGACATGGCTTATGTGTAGTTAGTAATGTTCAGTGGGTTGCTCTTCCAGGAACTTGTTTAACCTCCCCTTGAAGCTGTGTAAATTCTTAGCACCTGTGACTTCCTTTCCATATGTGTGTTTGTATGCGCGTATGTATTACAGTCTGTGTTTTCATTGTTTGTAAGCATTGCTAATTTTATTGCCCTTATGAGCTGTCACAGATAAGCTTAGGTGACCTTGTTGTGCTAGATCCAGATGTGCTGCCCTTCTCTGTCCCTCTGGATCTTTATGGGGGTTACTGTCCCCCTTGACAGATGCTAGTGTGAGCACATCCTATCGTCTTACCTTAAACCACCAAGGAAGCAAGCCTGAGCTGAAATGTTAGACTTTGTACTGGAGAGACCGAGGAATGGTACGTGTTGCCCTGCTGCCAACTCTGCTGCAGACATCTCTAGCAAGCACCTTGGTGGTCACTGGTGTCTTGAACTGCAACAGCTGTATGCTAAGTAAACAAGAGTGAGACCATTGTTAATTAAAATGCTTTTAAAATTTAAACAAAAGTCTTAGAGATGTAGCTTGGGCCAAAGCAAAATCCAAAAGATGAATACATGTAAATAAATGTGTTACATATGTAGGTACAGGTGAGTGTTTATCTGCACAAGTTGTTCTGGTTTACAGAAACATTCTAAACTATTTTGAGGGTTTTGCAGAAGATCTTCAAGCCAGCTTCGGTCTTGAATGAGACAAACTCAAAGAAATCAGAAAATTATTAAAGACCAAAGGAAGATACACACTTAAAATGTTGCCATTGTAAGAATCGGGAGTTTGACTGGTATTTGCCAAAAACCACAATGACTTGAAGAAATTAAATAATTCTGTGAATAACATAGTGGTGGGGCTGTCTTTTATATAACACCAGCAGTATTTACATATCTTCCCCAACATCAGGAGAAGAAAATAGTGATTCAATTTTCTTTCAAATGGGTAAAAAAGTCCAAAAACAATTGGTTACTGGGAAAAGCAATAGAGTAGGCAAGCTGAGCACAATAGTTTTCACATATTTTTCCCATTTCCAAAATAGTCAGGGGACTTCACGACAAGCTCAGAATACACTAGGTAAAAACTCTAAAGCAGACACTGGAAATTTACCAAAAATATGTATCAGGAGGTAACAGCATGTTTGTGAGCAAGTGTTGTGAAGCACAGAAAAGCAAGTGCGAAAATTTCACCTTGATCTCTGTTTTCATCCTAGCATGTAGAGTTGTAGATGCTGATTCCCATTATTACCAAGTCACATGCATGATTTGCTCTCTGCATTGTGTGTGTGGCTTTGAAACCACGCTTCGTCACGTCTCCAGGTTCCTCTCAGTTTAATCCAAACTCCTTTTTTCAGTGCTCAGTACTGCAGCACCAGCACTCTGCAGCTCGAGAAAAGCAATTGTATTTTTACATTGCCTTGGGCATCATCAGCAAAATTGCCAAGACTGTCTGTAGGGACAGTTTGTGATATTTCGTGTGTGTGTGTGTGCGTGCGCGGTTATGTCTCTGTGTACGTGTATTTATATAAAGCAGAAAAGAGCACAGTTTGCTTTTTAGGTGCCAACTTGACCTTGCGGTGGCAGCTGTTCGAAAAGCAAGTATCTCATTGTGAGTTGTAAATTGAACAACTTGTTATGGAGCTACTGAAGGAGACTAAATTTGAAATGCCAAGATTATTATACAACTTTTATCAAGAGAGCGCATCCATCAGTCACAGAGATAAATTGGGCTTTAAACAGCTTTCAAATATACGTGTCCTCTTACTGACAACTGTAGAAAGTTGCTGTAGTGGTGCAGAGTGCCAGATTGGACCTGCTGCTTGCATGGAAAGCAATATGCTTGTCAAGGGTTTCATGCCTGTTTTGCTGAAGCTGGGAGGTAATTCTTATCCCTTTATGGAACCGCTTAAGAGCACCCTCAAGAAGTAATGCCCAGCTGTGCTGACCGTAGCACATACAAATAAACTTGCACTGAGGAACTGAGTAGCATGTTCTAAACCAAAAAATTGTCACACAAAGCCTTGTCAAGGGTGGGATAGCTGTGTTGCTGTCTTTTCCTGTCCTGGGGAGTACGAGTATTCACCAGGCCAGTTTCAAAGGTGCGTCACTGTGCCACCTGGAACATGAGATTCAAAGGGCCAGCACCCCTGGGTCCATGGCCTAGTAGGTAGGGCAGCTGGCTGGAAAATTGCTCCCCTTCCTGGACTGTGATTTTATATTAGTTATTGGTAACCAGCTCTATAGTTTTTCTGGGAACAGGAACTCAAGCTGGAGCCTGCTCGAAGACTTTATGCTCCATTATTTTCCCTGTGGCCCCAGGAATCTTGAACTTCTGGTTGTTTTCAACAGAAGGTTCCCATGGCGAACCAATGGCTGCAGGGCAGGGAGAGCTATGAATTCAAACTCTAAGGCTTAGGAATGAAACCCACATTTTTCATGGCCCGGACAAATTCTTTAACCAGCCCATCATTAGATGAAAGCTCTTCCTCCTCCCTCTTCAAAGGGAGGAGTGAGCCAGGGTGAAGCTAGCTGGTGCCTGAGTGAAAGAAGGAATCCATTTCACAGAGACGCACACCTTGGTGTTTCAACCACTATATTCGTTCAGAGCAGAGACAGAGCTGCAGACATGCTCCTTTTCTTTAATGCAGGCTGTATTCTGCATCCCTTCTTTCTGCCCCAAGCAGCAGTTTTGCTGCTGAGGGTATAGGTACTTATCTTCCCTCTTCGCAGAATTTTTGGGTGCATAACGAAGCAATGCAGATTCTAGCCTTGGAGCCAGAGGCTTAACTCTCAGCCCCCAGATGGCTTTGAAAATATCATTCTTAATCTCCCCATTCCTCTCTTCGCATCTTGTTTACAGATGGGATATTTTAAACTCACCCGTGTAAGAGGGGTAATAGAGCTGGGATGTTTTGTAACATCTCAGGTTCTAAACAAATGTGAAGTATTGCTATTCATATTCACAAATATTTTGATGGTATAGTTTGTATGTGACCTGGGCAAAACCTAAGCATTGAATCCGCTACACTGCAGTTATGTTGTAACTCTGATACAGAAGGTGTCTTTGACCGCCAGTTGTTGCGAGCAGCAGCATGTGGTAGGCACTGCCTATGCTGAAAGGAGTTAAGCACTGAAATGCCTGTGAAAAATCCTACTCCAGAGTCTGTGCATTTCCCTAGACTCCGTAAAACCTTTAAACATTCAGCCATAAAAATTTTCCTTGAGCATGTAGGTGGGGCAAAAAGACCCTTAATGTGCTAAATTTGTACCCCATCAGAGCTTGTCAATAAATTGAAGGCAAGGAAGTGATTATGGCGGGATGTAATATATGCGTTTTCAGGCTCTTTCACAGCTTTTTGTGTAATGCCTTGATGCATAATGTTACTGCTGCTGCACTGCAATTAACATCAGTAGATGGTTTTACCCCATGACCACAGACAAAATCCTAGTGAGGCAGCAACTGCTCAGTGAGCTGGACAAAGTATTTCCACTTTCCCAAAAGGTACAGCATTTTTGTAATTCGTCCTGCCAAAAGAACAAAATGTTTACTTGCTTTTGCTGTTGTGCTCAGATCTGTCTTGATTGCAGAGTAAACCTGTTTTTCTTTTTTCTTTTCCTCATTTCTCTCTAGTCTCATGCTGTCCACAATTCATAGAGATTTCAAATTGTTTGCGTTATGTTGAAAGGATGGAAATATTTAGAGTTTTGAAAAAGGAGAAACACTACCCCACTCCCTTCTAGCTTTGAGGGCTGTTTGAAATAACCACATGTTCAGCCTTTTATCTAGAGCACAGAAAACTGAGTACAGAACAGTTTACCATGTGTAGTGCTTTCAGCTGAGACCTGTGAACTGTTGTCCTTCTCTGGTGGACAGCTCATAGCTGGAGCAGGGTTTATTCTGACGGTAAGGCGTTTTGTGTCACTCATTTATCCTCGTGTGGCGGTGCAAGACCGCCCTCTGGTGTCAGGAGTTTTGCGTGTGCTCAGTCCATTATGTGCCCACAGCTAACGGGGTATAATTGTTTGCTCTACTAAGCCTGGAGAAGGCAGTAAATAAATATATTTAATGATCAGAAATGTTCCTCCCAATTCGTATGCATAACGTGTTCTGCTAATTCATGTGATAGCTTCTTTCTATGCCTTATGTAATATTTGGATTAAAGGAATTCTATTAAAACGTTTAAATATGAACCCTGTTAATTGATTTTTACTTTCTCTCTCCCTTAGCTATGACTGTCCGGAATGGAGGAAATGTTCTGGTTCCCTGTTACCCCTCTGGAGTAATATATGACCTGCTGGAGTGCCTGTATCAGTATATTGACTCTGCTGGACTATCCAGTGTCCCTTTTTATTTCATCTCACCTGTTGCCAACAGCTCCCTTGAGTTCTCCCAGATCTTTGCTGAATGGTGGGTGTTAAAGGGCTGCTTCATCAGCCTCAATTCAAACGCTCAGCTATGGTAAATAGATGTATGCAGGTTATCTCTACTTGACATATTCTAACATATACTTGATTAGAATTGTGAACGCGTTTCTTGAGTCACAAGGGTGTGCGTGCATGTGTAAGTAGATGTTCTATAATTAGGGAAGCATCGTTTCCTATAGAACATACAAACTGAAATAATCTGTCCTTTTGGGTACTTGCACTGATGATTAAATGAATGAATGACTTGAATGAATTTTAGCCGTGCCTATTTGAACATATTATCCAGGGACCCCAAAACTATACCATGATCTTCCTGTATAAGCAAAATAGATTTTTTAGGCTTAATTTTGCTGAGCCAGTAATGTTTTCCTGACAAAAAAAAAGGCCAACAGTGTCCTGGGCTGCCTTAGACAGAGTACTGCCAGCAGGTCAGGGAAGGTGATCCCTCTCTGCTCAGCACTGGTGAGGCTACATGGAGAGCACTGTGCCTCATTCTGGCCTTCCCAGTACAAGAAGGATATGGGTTTACAGGAGCAAGGCCAGCATAGGGCCACAAAGATGATCTTTCAGATGAGGAGAGACTGAGCGAGCTGGGAGTTTTCAGCCTGGAGAGCAGAAGGCTCGAGGGGATCTTATCAATGTGTGTACCTGATGGGAGGAAATGAGGACAGGGGAGCCAGACTCTTCTAAGTAGTGCCCACTGACAGAACAAGAGGCACAAATTAAAACACATGAAATTTATCTGGACAAAACAAACACTTTTTTACTGTGAAGGTGTAAAAACTGGAACAAGTTGTGCGGAGAGGTTGTGGAGTCTCTATCTATGGAGGCACTAAAACCCAACTGGACACAGTCCTGGATGACCTACTCTAGCTGACAGTGCTTGAGCAGGGGGTTGGACTAGATGATCTCAAGAAGTCTCTTCCAATCTCAACCATTCGGTGATTCTGATCTGTGGATCTTGTAACTGTCTTGTAACTGGTCCTAAATTCTGACAGAGAGATGTTCTAGATTATTAAATAAAGTAAGTTAGCTTTTCCTTCCTTTCTTCCAGATTTTTTAAGTCTGGAGTTCAGGAAAGAAAGGGGAGGTCCTGAAAATCTTAGGTGAACTGATCCCTCAGGAGAATTGTAAAGAGGGTTGAAATCTGATGAATTTTAATCATGTTACTTTCAGCAACAGTAGGAAAATCAAGTCTTAATGTCCTGGCCAAACTTCAGTGTATTCACCAAAGTATGTTAACTCATAATTAAACAATTGTTTAGTTTGTATTTACACGGTGATTTCATTTCAGTAGCAGCTGAAGTGGTAGCTGCATAGTTGTTATTGTGCTAATCCTTTGGGTTGGATATTGCTGTCCAAGTAGCAGG